CAATAATTCACTGTATCAATCCTACCACGTCCCTCATCAGTCACTGGCTACCCTTAAGATCTGTCACCATAAAATTTTTCTCTTCTACTTCAAGATCCCCACAAATAAGTTTATCCAAGCTAACTGCTTTACCAGTTGCTGGTATCAACCAGCCTTCACTTTGCCAACTTCTTTGGCATTTACTGTTCCAGAACCAGCTTCACCTAGCTATGCATTTTCCCTGTTGCTTTTTGTGCTTGAAAGTTCCCAGAAAGCAAAAGAGGCACAACCCCTATCTTACCCTCCAAACTACCCAACATGCTCAGCAAAGATGTTACTCCTTAAAAAAACTCTGACTGTATACAGAATAGAAGCAGAAGCCAGAGGTCTAACAGGACCAAATCCAGACTGGTGAATCCACCCTAGGGAAATCATGAGATTAGATCCACAAATCTAGCAAAGTCAATCTTGACCAACAAGGATTTCTTATCCCTACCACTCCTACTGAAAGGCTTTGTTTTGCTACGTGAAAAGGATAAACTCTATTCATTTCAAGTTAAGCTCTTCAATGATTATCACAACTTATTCCCTATAACCACTTCATATTAGCCTTTTCTAAATGTGAGTAACACTAATTGTACACTTTCCAGTAAGAATTCATCCTGAGGTTTGTTTGGGGGTTTTTTTTGTAGTAACAGTTGTACTTCCTGCTTTCTGTTGAGTACTTCCCAAGATCACACCACCAGCTCAGAAAATTAAGCAAAAATGCAATGAAAAAATGCCTGAAACTATGTTTGTTGGTCTGAGGTTTTTGATTTCTCAAAGAGAAAACTATGCATCCCACTTTTCATAAACGAGTTCTGGAAAGCAATCAAAGCTATTGCTGTTTCAGTTTAAACTCTCCATATGATATACTTTGCTTTCACTATGTCCTCATTTTGGGGGAGAGATTTCTGACAAAGCTTAGCTTTTGAGGATAAAATTGGGAGAAAAAAATTTATTTGGCCAGCAATGGATATCAAAGTTTTCTTACTCCTGTGTTAACTGCTGCATTTCAGCTTTTATATTAGGACCTGACACTTGGAAAAGAAGATAGCCTACACATGAAGGATGTGTTTTTCAGTCCCATAACACTACATTCAGCCAGATGAAGCCTCTGAAATTGCAATTTGTACATGTTCAGTAAACATTTGGTATAAATCAAAGAGCTAAACTCCCCAAAGACTTCCTCCCTGTTCATGCCACAAGCTGCACATGGAAAAGTTAAGTTTCAAGAAGCTACTGACGTTTTGATGCAGTGTCAAACATTGCTGGTTCTTCATGCTTTCTTTCTTCATCATCCCAGGCCCAAGAATGAGTAAAGGTGCAGAAACTGTGTTCACAAACAGCAACTAAATTGAGATTTCATTTTTGACTATTCTAATAATACACTAGCTGTATAAACAGTTTACATTTAACCATATAAAGGAAGCCTTATGTATTGCACCAACAATAATATATTTTAACCTATGATTAAAAACCACTTACTACAAGAAAGAATTGTCCTTAAAGGTTACACATGTAACACCTGGAGGAATTAATTACTTAGAGGCAAAATAAAGACTATTTCTGTACTTCTAATAATAAAATAAATAAAAAAAAACAACAAAACAACTGAGTAACTGCTACAACAGTTCTTTCACAATTTCAAGTTTAACGTCTCATTCACTGATCAGTCATTTCCCACCCCCCTCACAGAATGATATTCAAAAGATTTTCACTCTAGCACTACCAGAACACAATTATTAAATAGGACAGCACAAAAGTAGCCAACTGGTTCTTATACTTCATTCTCATGCAGTGCCTGCTACATGCCACATTATCTCATGGAAGCAGAGCTACAAAGGGTTCTGAGCTACTAAGCAAGGCAAATTCCCCACCTCTGAAGCCAAAAGAACTTCAGAGGCTCACAAGGCCAAATTTGTCCTAAAACTTGCACCAGCCCCATCTTGCAATGGAGTACTGGATGCCTAACAAAGCCTCATCTCCATCTCATACCTATTCTCAAATCTTTTTCCTCAGCTCTGAAATGTGTGTTACATTCCTCTTTGTAATATTAAATCTCAATACATAGTGCAATAATAATAGTAATGCAATATGTGCTAACACTTTACTGAAAATCTGGAAAAAATGCAGGTATAACTGTTACTGAATACCTATTAGAACACTTCATAGTTTTAATAGATTAGAGTGCAGTTACAGCACTGATGAAATGTACTCTTCAAAGCTAACTACCATGTAGGGCAGCTAAAGGACACTTCCAATACCATGATGTTCAGCATTAAATTATGCAAGATTTAGGGGAATTTGTAAGTTTTGAGGTCATGAAGGGAAACCAATTATTAAAGTCAGAAAAATATTTGTATTTTATGTCCTTTACTAATTTAAAGACAGACAACTTAATTGGGTATATTTCAGTCATATAAAAGAATTAAAATTCAGTTATGCATATAGGCACACAACACAACTTTTGAATTCTAAAGCACAAACACTGCAGAAACACATCAAGAAATCAGGGTCCTGATCCCTCAAAAATAATTAAGACTTCTCTTTCTTCCTGTAAGTTTCTATCACTTTAGCTTCACTTGAGCAATCAAGGTGTAAACATTATAGATTCTGCTGCCACACAAGGTAGCAGTCATTTGCACTATTAGCTTCAGCATCAAACATCCAGCTTGTACTTCCTGCCAAACCAGATGGAAGATTAATTTGTGCTCATGTGAGTCAGATTAAGTGTAATATCCAACTTAAAACTGGAATTACCTCTGCAGTAAATTTAAGCTCTAACATATACTTAGCTCTAGTGACTCAAGTAATCTGCGACCTCAGCGGGAGCAATTCAGGTGCCTAATGCCATTTTTACATATCTCAGAGCATCTTTGACATCCACACAAGAATGGCAGTCATGACAGAACTACATAAGATCTGTGTCTTTTTGGAGCAACAACTCAAACATGACCACAGTTTGGATACCTAATCCCACCCAAAGAAACTACTCACATAATTAACATTACATACATTTGAGAGTTTCCATGATTGTGTCCTTCCACACTAAAACTGAACAACACATAGGCCATTCTGTTCAAAACTTCATCCATATCACATAGAGGTTTGGCTTTTACCTAAAGGTCACCATTCACATTTAAACAGAAATGTATCTCAGTTTTCAGTCCTACCATAATTTCTATAGTACCAAATACCTGCACCTGTTCAGAGCTCTAAATACATCAGATGAACCGACCCAATTAATCACAGAACACAGTTTTTAAAGTCACGATTCCACAGTCACTCATAAGTAACTGTTTCATATGTTTGGATGACTGTAACAGCCAGCCCACAAACCTTTTACAGTCTGTCAGCCAAGCCACAAAGGCCTGTGAAATTCATAGCTCTACTTAAAAAAAGAATTTCTTCTCTTTGTAGTAGTATCATTCCCCTATAAAAGAAAAAAAAAAAAAGAAACACAACTACAGAAACAACACATTTTTATTGTATGTGAATTGCTGAATTGCTTCAGATCAAGTGAAATTTACACTGGGTTTTGAGAGACTGCTGTTTCAGAACCTTTGTATCCATATCACCTCCCAGGTGGTCAGACCCACCTCATCACTAAGAACTTCCCTGGTCATCACCAGACTGCTGGCTGACCCTGGTTACTTGCCCTGGACCTGATCCTGCCCCTGACTTGACTTTCTAACTTGGGCTCAGATCTGCCTCCTCTCTATGGATTTGTCTAGCACTCTAGACTCTTGGCTGAACACAGTTACCATCACTGGATCTGCTCTGCTCACCCTGTTCAGGTGTTGTGGGACTGCAGCACTTGTCAGTGAGAACTTTACCAAATGTGAATTCATACTCACAAGTTATGACAAGTCCTTCTCAGTGAAAGAAATGAAACAGCTTTCATTATTACTCTGCTTTCATTTATGATACTTGAGGTCACACCAAATGTGTACTTCTTCACAATGCTGCTACATGAAATTATAGCAGGATTATCATGTCTTCATTTGTATGGTACATGGATGCATTTTCTTCTGTTACTTATCTGTTTCATTACCTCCTGTCCTTCAAACTAAAGCATGTCTTGGTTTGTTGGTACAGCATCCAGACGATGGCTATTTACAGAGGAATACTATAACTTCAAAAGCATATCAGCCTTTGGGTTCAGTTCAAGTTTGGTTTGGTTTTTTTAAAGAATAAAAAAAGAAAAAGCAGAGGTTAAGTAGCCACTGTCTCAAAATCAACAATGTTTTATGATCCATCCAAGTAAGCTAATACTTGAAAGAAGAAATTCTATTTTACAAACTAAATTTCATTATTTCCAGTAGATACTAAACCAGAAACTTAATTTAATTTCAGGTTTCCAAAAGAATTAACTACCCAAAATACTGAGAAAACTAGATGTTTCTGCTTTACCTTTATCTTCCCAGAGAACATATTTATTTGATTCAACATCAAGCAAGAATCTCTGCTGAAATCTTTTTATTAAAAGGCATGAGAACAGTCACAGGAAACCTCAAGTAGATCACAGACAATTAGTAAAACCAAAATATTTAAGAAGGATCTATCTTTAGACCTTGGCAACAGCTCTTCCACGTGATGCACCGCACCCCCCCCCCCTTCTCTGCCATAATACTTTGTGCTATTACATTAGCACAGGAAGTGGTTTCAAAAGTAAGGAAAACAACTACTCACATCATACTTTAAATTATCAAGCAAAGACAAATAAAAATATGAGTATATTTGAATAAGGTGTTCAGACAACACGACTTAGGTTTCAGGGTCCATCTGGAAATACTAGTTCTATGGATAAAGTATTTTAAAGCACATGGTAAGAAAAAACTTAAATGCAGACATGCATGAATACCCACTAATTTCAAAGCTGTTATGCCAATGAGATGACAAACAAGGTTTGGCTTATATATGAGGCCTTCTGCCCCTTCAAGTTAAACGTGTGGACTAGTAAAGGTGTGCAAGATTACCTTTTGTGGGCAGTGGAATGTGATGGAAAGATTGAAGGAAGTCAAAAAAGCCTCTGAAAAAGGAAAAGCATACATTTTTCCTAAACTAACTTCTGCAAATGAAAGAAATCCAGAACTGTGCTTAACAGTGAGCTTCAAGTTACAGAGAAGTTGTTACAGCATCCTTTTATCATGATGCATTGCAGATGGGAAGTAGAGCGTGGATTCTCCCTGACAGCTACAACAGAAGTCCTTCCCTGAAGAGAAACTGGAATAAACTATTGCACTTTAAGCATCGCCTTCAAACTGCAAGTATGTTTGAGGTAGGTCCCAAGCTCAGGTCTCAGAAACTACATAGGACAAGCTACCTCAGCTGGTAAGTGATGCAGGGACAACAGTACTGCTTCCAATACCCCTAACCACTCTTCGTATGTATACACAAAAAATTTTGCTAGATGTTATTTTCATAACTGTTACAAAAAGTGAGGAAAAGCACAACATATTTTTGTTGCTGAAGACACGTTCTAGAAAAATGACACCTTTTCAGTGCTTGTGCCAAAACGTATTTAAAAGAACAAAGCTCACTGCCATTGCTGCCAGTCCAAACTATTTCTGGCAACACCCTCAATGCCAGGGCTGCTGTTCATCTGGAAGGTCATTGCACAGCATCAAGTAAAAACACAGTGTCTAGCCTAAGGAATACTACTGACTAAATTTTATGACCATAAAAACCAAACTAATGATTCAGACAGACTCCAACGAAAAAATGTCAGTAACTCTATGCTTCCAGCAGCTACCTGCACAGAAGTATGCTTGAAATGTGACAGCTCAATTTTTAAAAGGCTTAATTATTCCAGCTGACATTCTAAACTCACTGCCATATACTATGTGTGTGCGCTTTAAAGCATCTGTTGCATTAAAGGGTAAAGAAGTTTGGCAGAAAATAAACCCCCTTGTGTTCCAGCTTATCCTCAGATGTCAGAGGAGCTGGGGGCAGCTAGGTTTAATTTCTGACTAATGTCCAATTCAGTTCTGTAAGTCCGGTTGCGTTCAATGTGTTGAACTATCACGATGACAGATGCACTTAATAGTGTACTGCGCTGTCAGCTTAGCCACGTTCAATGCACTAGAATTACCAGACTTAGGGAGTTTGGTTGCGTTAACAAACTATTACAACTAGATTAATGAGCAGAGCAGTTTATTAAAGCAACAGTACAGGTTCTTTTGGATTGCCGGTGATAAATACACTGTCTGCAAAGCACATGCAAATAATAATACAGTTGACTACAAGCACAATAGATTATGGAAAAACTCTATAGAGATTTCTAAGTTTCCCAGGGAGGCACTCGGTATAACAGAAGGTTTGAATCTCACCCAATAGGTGTCCCTTTGGCGGGGGGCGGGGGGGAAGAGGTGCGAACCTTTGACTGATCCCAGAAGTCAGCGATGTCCTCCCAACTTCTCTATCATGGTGTCTTCCCTAACAGTCTTCCTCTCTTAAGCCCTTTCATATTTTCTTATTTTTTAGGTGGAGCTTGAGTGACTCTAGTCATACATACCTTTACTTAGATTGGTATAAAGTTCTCTCACTTTACTTTTAAAGGTCTATGCTAGAGAAAATTCAGAGCGCATGCTCAGTGAGGGGTGGTCGCACCTCGGAGGCAGGTAGTTTTTGGGATGGAGGTGTGTTTTGGTATTATAATGAGATTACAATGAGCAAAGTTCACCCAGGGAACATGATTTAGCGTGTCACTACTCCAGAACTGGGGACTTATGATACAATTCAGAAGTAAGGCAATAGCATTGACAGAACTCCCCTTATTTCACCTCCTTGCTTCACTCGATTCAATGCAGGGACCTTCCATTCTTGTTCCAGTAGTTCCAGCTCCCCATCCCTGCAGTGATATCACAGAGCCTGGCCAGTGTTTCCACTCCACTCCACCCTCCGCGTTGTTTCTCTTAAGAGTCAGCAACCCAACCTCCCCTGGTGTTGCTAACATCTAAGGTTGCAGGTTATGTTGCTTAGGGAATTATTATGGAACAGATTTCTTGCATATCCACTGCATTCCACCCTGGAGCTGCACCTTCCCTTGGGCGGGGGGGGGGCACGGGACAGACACACATATCAATAAGTCACCTCGAGCAATCATTCCACAAGCATCAGCATGAAATAAAATGCAGCAAAAAAAAGTTTAGTAAGATTATTAAGGTAAGTAGCTCAATAAACTAGTTGAACTGGATTCAAATAGCAAAGGAAGAAATGATAAGAAGGGGAAGCATCTAAGGAGGTCAGCTCATTTTGACAGAACATGAAGCCAGAACAGCAGGTGAAGAAACAATTCTCAGATATGTGACAAGTCAATAGTGCGCAAACTAAAAGCTTTAGAATACATTACAACGCAGCATTTTGGGATGCAGGGTAGACCTTATGCCCAGCCATCAGTACCCTGCACACTTCAGAACTAACGTAAAAAAGCAAGTAAGCTTGACAGAGGCTGGGAGGAGGCTAGAGAGGAAAAAGGGAGTAAATTCACTGAGCTTAACTATCTGGGTCAGTCAAACGGAAGAAAACAGACTGTAGTAGTATTATATGCACACAAAGTTACCGCGTAAATCAAGAAGCCTTTTTTTTTTTTTTTCCCTTCAAAACAATCCACCCGAAACGCTATTTGTGTTATTTTAGCAAGAGAAGGAAACAGAGAAACCTGAACTTGTGAAGCGGCTACGCCCGCTCCCAGGGCTTCCAAAAAACCCCTGCTTACCCTACAGGCCCCCCCAGAGCCGTCGTGCCCCAAGCCTCGCGGCGGGCAGCCCCCCCCG